TGAATATCCAATTGGTCTTATCTCCCTCTCGTGTGTCGCAACCTGGACCGGAAGCATGCCTTGGGAGACCTCAGAATTTGACCTCAGCCTTGTCGAGTATTGGTTCGAATACATCCGAGTATAACTGTTTGTGTACCCGAGACAGACCGCACCTGCCTGTCGAAGCTTTCTTCCAATGTTTAGCTTGGGGTTTTGCACTGGACAGCGAAAAGGGACTACGACCAATATTACCCCTAAACATACCAAACTGTCCATAGAATGCTGTGGGCAATGTCCAGGGGACATCTCCTTCGGAAGCTCGCACCCTTCCGCGGGCAGAGGACTATGAGAATCGGGTGTTTCCGGCCTGGAATTTTCTTTTTAATACATGAGGTTAGTACTTGTTAGCTACTTCCTTCATCTCTTAAGCGTGAATGTAAAGATCGTTTCGAAATGTCTGGCCATTCAGAATGCCAGGCACTCAAGAGTATGAAACTTCAGCGGCCGACCTCGCGAGCATTGCTGAACTTCAAATGATCAATTTGCGAAACAACCACATGACATGGTTCGACATATGCCCGAAAGACGTTCAAGAGCAGTGAAGAGTTTTTGAAGAAGTCTCCTTCGGCACTCCAGAACGTAGCTACATTCCGTTGGATGCAACATCAACCTACCATTGACGAAACTATCACGCTCAAGGAGATAGCTCAGCTCGTCGAGGATCTCCGCGAAAGTCTCGCAGACCCTGAGGAAGTCAAACGCCTGATGAAGGAGATAGACAAGAAGGCATCTGATATGTTCGATGCGCATCGGAGGCAAATAGGACCTCAGCTTGAAAAAAAAGCCATCAAGGATATAATTGCAAAAGAAAGCCGGGAAAGACAATTGATAGTCCTCCGGAAATCTATTGAGGACTTACTATCCGACGAAGCCCCAGAGGAGTATTATGTTAACGTTTCGGAAGATGCAATGTCTGTAAATTCTCAGCCCCCAGACGTATCCGTACAACAGGATCAATCAATTATGGCCACGAAGCTCCCGAGGGAACCTGAAGAGCCTACTCTGGACGTCTCGATGCCAGATCGTCCCAAGGATGGCAATGAAGCTCCAAGCGTCTCGATTGCCAACCCACACACAGTGGCATCCCCTGAAATATGGCCCTGGGCTACTCCATGAACCTCTGGAACGAGATACTATCTCGAGGAAGACCATTAAGTGGGGTCGTGCTAGGGGCAACCTCTATATCAACAAGTATGGCAGCCACGAAGCCCCGGTCTACCGATGGTCTCACATCCCAATCGACCTTGCTTATGCCAAGGATCCTCCCGAGAAAGACAATATCTGCAACCGCAACAATCGATATGGGGAAATTATCCATCCTCGAACAGGTAAGTTGTTTTATACCGCTGCGAATGTCAAGGAGGTTCTCGGGGTGATTGTGCAAGGTGACGGCTGTAGAGCGGCTGATCTGAACGGTCTGGACCCATCGCATCCTACCAGCGACTGGGTTTATTTAATTAAGCGCACCCATGCAGGAGGACATCGAGCAGACCTCGTCGAGAATCCGAAGCTCCCGAAGTCCCCGTATTCAGCAGCATGAGAGAGATATCCAGGATCTTGAGATGTCCGATGGACACGAATCAGACGAGAGTGATGAGAATGTGCTACAACTAAATGTCGGGTGTAAGGAGCCTATATAGTTCTGCCTGATGAAAGTCTGCTGCAAACTCTCGAAATCCTGGCAGCTGTTCATCCTGAGGCCAAAACGACGTATTATTGGCTTTTGGGTCACCACAATCAAAGTTCTATTTCAATGCGGTCTGCCCGCGTACCTTTTCCTTGTTAACTCCAAAATATCCCTGTTCGAAGGACCGAGGCGTTTGGAATAGCTTTTCCTTTTCAGGAAGTGGGAGGTTGAAGAATCGTTGGCTCTTCAATACTCGTATTAGTCAAAATAGATATATATCCACATTCTCGGAAACTAAAATTTGTATACCGTTGTGCGTCGACACATCTCAACAAACCCTATTATATACACTAAGAGGAAGATGCCATATGTATGGCGAGGTCCAAAGCATGAGGATATATCTGAATGGCTGTGTCGACGCTCGAAAAGCCTGGATGATCAACCACGCATGTCCGAGTCCGCTAGTACAGATATTAGACTTGCGCTGCAAATGGGGCATTTCAGCCCGTCAGTTAGAGAGAGTCCGGGGTAGAATGTTGACTCTGCGCCAGGCAAAGAAAGTTCCAAGAGGGGCTCAGCACAGCTGGTTAGATTCGACGTTGGAGCTTTGTAGAAGTTGTCGACCAAGCGTGCTCGAGCGGGGCTGTATGCCAGCACTGACTTTTGTAGCCTTGTAAAGACTCGGGTGGGAACGACAATAGTTGAATTCGCTTCCTTTGACAGATCTTCCATGATTTCTGTCGTAATGCTGCTTTCGGCATTTTCTATCGATAGATCTTGAAAATCATCGCTCTCAATGCGTTCAACGATCATGGATCTGAGCTGGTTGAATAACGCCATTCTTTGCGCTCGCCCTTCTGCGATGTTGCTCATGTCAACTCCACTAATATGGCCTATATAATGTTGGAAAGTTTGATTGTCTTGGTGGCCCATGTGTTTTCTCCTTTCAGCTGTCAAGCATAATACCAAAACCCCTCCTGAAACCGTAGGAAGAGAGCGATTGCTTGTATCCCGCTCTGACTCCCAAGGAATTGAGTGCATTGTGGAAAGTCATGAATGGCCAAATTTTGTCGGGATGGAAGAGATCGAAAGCCTTTGAAGACCCCATCTGCTAAACGAAGAGCTACTGTGACCAAGCAATGCATTCGTTGGGATGTTTCGAGTATAGGAAATTCGAAACTAGCTTTTCGTTAGCACGATATTTCTGCCAGCGGTGAGTACAGACTTATTCGAGTCATTATCTCGTTCATTCTTGCGATTGCGTACGCAGACGCGCAAAACGTAGATCATGCCGGTCTCTCGCGCCCCGGCAATGCTATGGGTATCAAGGACAAAGTAATGTCTCCGTAAAGTAGTCCCTCATTGATACCCCGATGACATTGGGACTCGACGTAATCGCCTGGACGTCCGCCATAGTATGAAAGACAACTGGACAGGTATACGATCGTGGCCAAATTGATGCACATCGTGCTGCCAGAGAAAAGTTAGGAGATCCTTAACGACCTCTATTGTCGCGATTGGCTTTTCGAATGCCTTGGTAGAGCAACTTTCCATCCTCGACAGTGTTTTCTGGATGAAGGACTTCATCTGCTTGTGCTCTGTCTGAGTGTACCCATAGCGCGCCCTAATGCTTGTGATTCGTCTTATAGAATTCCAAACTCTCATCATCGTGGGTATGTTTACTTTCTTTTCGAGCTTCCCTTTGGAACGTTGAAATAAAGACAATTCAACGCTGTTGGTGATGAGGCTCATGTATGAGACGAAGTGGGAAGAATGGAAGCAGTTCGTGACGGAAGTCGGGCGAGGGGAGAGACAGCGCGAGCGCCGCATTGTAACGCACGCCCGCCATATTGCTGCATAGCCACGATACAGCGCGTGATGGAACCAAGAACTGGGATGGATGCAATGAGACCCATTCGTGGGAGTTGCGGTGGTAATCTGGGTTTTGGTCAAGTTGGGGCGCGTACTTTATCAGGTTCTGGAAATACGCCCGCTAAAGAAAAGCCAAGCCCGACAAGTCGCGTAGCTAGATAGCAGAGCGCCCTTCTAAATACTATACCTTCAACACACACTGCTCGTCAACTCGCCGTCTTTCGGCACTCATTCTCATACACGGCATCGTTCAGGTTTGCCGTAGAGTTTCCTCGCTCCCGGAATGCTCCCAAACGTACTACTATACTCGTCCCCAATTTACGGTTAGATGCTTCATTTGCTCTCGACCGGTTTTGACACCCCAAAATCGTATGGACCTCGAAATTTATAATCGAGCCAAGTCGCTCGGCCAGTCTCCATACATAGTCGCAAAGCTGGCAGCATACGGCTTAGGAAATTTCCTCGGCGACAACGGCGAGCAGCAGAACCCTGCCGATGAATTCCAAAACATTGACGTCCTGCACGGCCTCTACGCTTTGCTGGAGCAGGGCTCCTACATGCAGCCTCGGCCTGACATGGGCCGCGACTACTCTACACAGCAGCAGCGAGTCAAACGCCCACGCTCACAAGATTCCCTCGCGCTACAGGTCGAAGGCATGCAAGGATACACATCGAACTTCTCCGGGCAAGACGCTGTAGAGCTAACACCAGGAGGTCATCATGCTCAACTGCAAACGCAAGGACTTATCACCATCACCGCATGCCTGGGCCACCACCAGCCAAGATAGCTGGGCCTCCCAGTGTCGTAGGACTGGAAGGCATGCCGGATCCTGCGCCACGTGCACGCGGTCCGAAACTGAAGTTCACGCCTGAGAACGACCAGTTGCTCGTGGATCTTAAGGAGAAGAAGATCTTAACATGGAAGCAAATTGCAGACTTCTTTCCAGGGCGCAGTAGCGGCACGTTACAAGTACGGTACTGCACGAAGCTGAAGGCGAAGACCACAGTTTGGAACGACGAATTGGTGAGTCTATTCCTTTACCTTGCATTGAACGTTGGGCGGTCGCGATCCTGGCTCAGGGGTATATAGCCATGCACCAAGACCATTTATGTGCCACACGGTGCCAGTACTGACCTGGGTGGAACAAGCAGGTGCAGAAACTTCGGACGGCAATGTCGGAGTACGAAAACGACACGTGGAGAATAATCGCGACCAAGGTTGGGAACGGTTTCTCCCCAGCCTCATGCAAAGACAAGGCCTCGAAGCTCTTGGAGCTAGAAGGCTTGGATGAACCGCAAGCAGACGACGAGGAGGACCAAGCAGAAGAGCAGGACGAACCAGAAGAATACGGAGCCATCGAAATACGAACATGAATGCAGAAACGTCATGCACAGACAAATCACACCAGGAGCCCGAGAAGCACCTGTTGCGCCCGACCCTGGTTATTGCTGGCCAGAACCCCTAACACACACTCATATCCCCAACGTCAAACTACCTAAACTGTCATTTCCCTTTTGACGTCAACTTGTGATTATTTGCTCTTCCTTGTCGCTGAACCCGCGGAAAGGACTTGAACGTTCTCGCCACGCATAAGGAACAGGGATAGGCCGGTCCGTTACAAGATGCTTCCCTAGAAGGCTCTGACTCTTGTACAGCAGACATGTAGACAGTTGTGCGCAGCAGCTGGTAGCTTCGGACGAACTCAATCGCCTATTGATTTCGATGCCGCAGCATCTTTCAGGGCGATATTGTTGTTCGCAGGATCGTTCGTGTCTCACAACGACAGCACACATAAATACACTGCACTGGTTGTGGTCCGGCCTATTTTTCTTCCTAGTACTAAAAACAGCCATAATGTGGAAGGGCGCTTAAGACGCTTCACACATTGCGTCCCTGTCTATCCCCCAAGAGATGATGGGGTGTCAGACACATTCCGAATGCCTGCACCGCGCAGTCTAAATGCACGCCTTAACCTCGTTCCCCTCTTCCACTGAGCTTCGTGCGCCGTATCTAGACCCCTTATCGTGACGTAGGACAGCTGTAGGAAGATGCAGCAAGCTAATAACTACCCAACACTAACGCCATCTCAGAGAGTTTTCCCATCTTCCGTGGACGACCTGTAGCGAATTCTGTGATCCTTCGAGCGCCCCTGGAATGAAGAAATAAGCATACACACAGTGGGAAGCATCAATGGATCATGCCTGATGCCACACGCCCTCTCTTGGTCGCTGCAGTGATGAGAGCTACAGGGCGCGCAGGACGCCTCTCTGGGATATCGACGTTTGAGGCTCACTAAGCAGGTCAGCACTGAGCCTTTCGACTATCTAGACTGCCAAGACTTTGGCGAGTAAACAGTGGCGCCAGTGTGCGCTATGGCGGAGGACTCAGTAAACAATACAGTGCTTGTCCTCCATCAATCACAGCGTCCGCTAGCAAGAAAGTACAGTGCACCATGCAAATGATATAAACGGTAGGGGCGTCTTTTAAGTCCCGCTTGTGATTATTTGCACCTGTCTAGCGAGGCTGACTTTGTGTTATAAAATCAGGCAGTTCTAGCACAACATGACTACAGAGGCACGAATTCTTGAAGCAACACACCGTCTCAATGAGGTGACGTCCAAAACACCCCACTCATCACATAGGGGAGTAAGTGAATTAGCAGCAGGGTTCTCGCCCTCCGAGACTCTCAGTTTAGAGTCTCTAATATGCTCTATACGCGACAGAGATACTCGCAGCTCACAGGGCAAGATCTCGATTCTTGAAAGCGCCAAGGAGATTGTACGGCAATTGGAGAGCCCAGACGAGCGAGCAATGGAACTTCTCATGTCACTGTGTTGATTCGATCCGGTCGGATCTTCTGGTCTGCATTGCCGGCGTCACCTTGAGTCGAAAGCGAGGAAGCAGTCTGGACGGTCACGCCGAGCGACAGGTGGATGTGACAGTTGTGAAGCAGTTCTGGAAGGGTAGTCTGGCGACTTCGTTGTTCGACATCGTCTCGTGCACGTTCAGCCTTACGAGGGCGGCATAGCCACGTTCTGTGACATAGTTAGGTCAATGTACGATCAAAGTCGAATGTTGTCACGCGCGACGCGTCAAGCACCCCTTCACCAACACCACGGCGAACAAGCAGCCGCACAGTGACAACAACTACACGCAGCATCAAAGCAAACAAAACTCTCGGTACCTCTCTAGGAGCGCCGCGCAAACCCTTGACGTCTGTCCAGTCACGTACAACCGCTACAGTTGAATCTCCTCGCTAAAAGTGGATACTAGACTTTGGACAATCTTCATCACAAGTACAAAACACACAGGACTAAGACAATGCAGCAACATCACAGTTTGTCGCGTTCTCCGTTTCTGCGCTCTCCGCTTCTACAGCTCTTCAAAGTCAGATAGCCCTCGTTCGATCACTATCGGATACATGGCGGTATATCCTATCTTCATTAGATTTAGACTAAGAAGCCGGATGCACCTTACTTTGTCAATTATTGACCCCGGCCGAATCATTGCACCCATACCAATTCTCACTCCAGGCAACACTGTGACATTCGCTCCGATTGCGCAATTTTCCTCGATGTTGATTTCTCCTCCTTGGGCCTTACTCTGAAACCCTCGCCGGCGCTGAGGAGAATCCGATAAAAGATACCCAGCCAATGTCACATTCGGGCCGATGACAGTGTCATTTCCGATACAGACCTTGCATGCATCAAGTATGGTACAATTAGAACCGATCATAACGTTGTCGCCGATATGGATGTTGTATCCATAATCACACGAAAACGGGTCTTCAATGATGACACCGTGCCCCATCGTGCCTTGCACTGACTCTGGATGATCCGGTCCGTAACGGATATCCGATGCGCACAGCACGGAGCGGAAATGCTCTGTGATAAGCTCCGGACAAGAGTTGGCGTAGTCGAATTGCTTCAGTCGCTCCTTGCACAGCCTGTGATCAGTGACCAACTGCATTGCAAAGAATGAATAACTTTGACCGTTTAACATCTTAGTCTTCTCTGATGGCTGGTATAGTGGACTAGGCGGTATTATAGGCAGATCCGGAGGCGAAAGTCCATAGGGTATCAGAGATTGTGATCTTTCGGTGGTAGCTTGAGGTAAGAGCGCTCGATTCCTATGGCGCGAGAACTGACCATATCCTTCACAATCCAGATTCAATTGTCGACAATTCTCGCCTAGGAGGTTAGCCGGGCATATGGGACCAACATAACCTGAAGCGTACAGCAAGGTTTAGCCTCGTCACACTGATTCACTCTTAGCGAAAGATGCACTGTAGTTCGGGCTAGACATACCTTTTTCTTTCTCCTACGACAAGTAGCACAGCCAGTCTTGGTGCGTGGATAGAACTGCAAAGCTTTGAGAACTATCAGGCAATGCAGCCTGTGTCTGACTTACTCTCTTTTTCCGCGGATGCCTGGATGGATTCTTACCAGTGCGGCCAGGATTCTTGATGGCTGGACAATTCAGGTCGCAATGCTCGACTGGTACGTTCTGATCGTTGAGCATCGAGTGTATAGTGATTCTTTCCATGATAGACTCTGTAGCGTTAGGTCATTTAATTGAAAGACAGCAGAGATTGTGCAAGATCAAGCTGTTATACTGACATGTTGTTCGACAATGTTGGTTGGTACGCTAAGGACCGTATCTGCTGTGCCTCCTACCGTATGCCAAGGCGGGTCTCCTCCCTCCTAACTATTATCTTTCTATCTCATCGAAGATCGATCGTAGTAGAGGCGCAATAGCGTTCGTAGACGGCTACACAACCTGGATCACGGGCCCATCTGCCGCGGAGAACACCGACGTTCTACAGAGGACGGCTGTGGCCAAAGTAGAGCAGTGGACACGTCGGAGCGGCGCGGTGTTCGAAGCGGACAAGACAGTCTTCGTGCATTTTACCCGCACGGAGAAGAAATTATCATTGATAATCCAGATAGACAGAGTTATAGACAAGTAGCACTTCGGCTAGTCTTGAAGTTGTTGATTATCTGAGACCAGTCTCTGTAGACTGGGCCCAAATATGATTCTTTCTACTCTTGCAGGCTGTTGGGTGTTATGTCGAGCGCGTTGTGAAAGGAGTTTGATATTGTCTTGAGAGCGGCAGACGTCCAGGTTCCAGGTTCCTGCACTGTGCAAAGATTGTGGCTGCGGCGCAATAACAGACCGACGGCTTATGATCATCCGAATGAAATTAGATCCAGAAGAAACATCTACGGTACTCGTCACATGGGTACTCCCTTAAGCCTATAAGTGGCCGGGTACGGCGAAGTCTGTTGGTTGGTGGCACAATTGCACTAGGTCGGTTTGGTGGCCAAAAATTCCAATAAGTAAGTCATGATGATATCACTTGAGGTAGCGACCGTCCATTCAGAATGTGTTCCCGTGCGAGTGATGAGCATGTGAGCGATGGATTCATACGACCATCCGGATTCATGGATGGATCCGTCTGTAACTTTTTCAGCGCGACTCTTGGTACGTGGTTCATCCTTCACTTGCTAAACCACGTAGGTTCTTTCTAAAGTTGCGGACGTAGTCTAATACTAGTAGAGGATAGACGATGAAGTCAAGAGGATATACATTTCCGAGTACAGTTAGACCTGGCCACTCCATTACACGCGATAGACTTTATCGCTATCCCGATTCGCTCGTCAAGCAGTCTGCATTTACCAGGACACAGATCCTATCTCTTGGGACCACGCTACATCTTACGTACAAAGATGTGTCTCGAACTCGATCAAAGCTGTCTACATTGATTCTTCGATTCCCTTTCTGCGGAATGTACTGAAAAACCATCGGACTATTCAGCACATTGATGTCAGGAGACGACTAGGTAGTTCGAGTGCTTGGTACAAGCTATTCTGCCTCCAAGTGTCTCGCTCTTTTATGGTACTAGGCAAGTCATTGATGACTTGTTAATTACTGTACATCCTTCAACCATTACAAAACTTGAACTAGGCTATATCCGATTATCCATAGTTACATGAGAAAGCTTGGCAGACGGTGCACACATGTCGCGCGCGCACACGAACCGTAGTATAAATGATATTTTTATCTATTACCGCCAGACTTCCTATCAAACAATCAGTTCAATTCTGTGCCTATATTTGAAGTTGAACTGAAGTACTTCATATAGTCAAAATATAGCATATTTAAGGCTATATAGATAATTTTCGTATACCCTTTCGTACACCTAGACGTATACTTAGGTGTATTTGAGTACTAAGTCGTCTAAAACGTCTATATTCGTTAAGTAACTAATTAATACTCGGCGGAAGTTTCTAGTATAGACTCGGCGGTATAAGCTCGGCTCAGGATCCATGGAATATCATTTTCCCGGTATGCCTTAATGTCTAACACCCTAGGTCACCTATAGCCTACCCATCTAAATATACGAATATACTAAGCATATATATACTTCAGTTCAGTTCAATTATTTGCAGTTCAATACTATCTTAAATTGAAGTTGAACTGAAGCGTCAGTTCTTGGCAAGAGGCCTCAACTGAACTGGACTGACCAGTTCTTGAGGCGGTCGAATTGAAGTTGAACTGACTGATAGGAAGTCTGAAATTTACCGCCGTATTATCCCTCCATTATATATAAACCTATAATAATAATAATAATATTGTATAACTAGGTAGAGTAGTACTCTACAGGCCTATGCCTCCTCTAGTCTAAGCTACTATATAAGAAGAAACCCAAGAGGGGAAAACTTCCTTATGTCGATAATTACATCTCGTTAAACCTTTGTTTCTTCTAAAGTATACAGCCATAGGGTACACCTATTGGCCTACAGCCTGTGTTACCGTTGTTTTGCCCTCAGGCAGCACGTGCAGGTGCGGAGGTTATTAGTCAAGGGGTTCTTCCGGCATATGCCGGGTTTCCTCCGACGTATGCCGGGTTTCTTCCGGCATATATTTCCGGGTCCACTGGAATTGGAGGAGTGGTAGGTGTGTAATCATCCACCGGGCGACGTCCTTAGGGTACTCATTAAGCCATCGTACGATATCGGAGGTTCTTGTCGTGTGGATGAGCTTCTGCCTTTGCGTGTGAAGATCGGGGCACATTGCGAGCCTCCAGTTCGAAGTCGGATGACTCCTGCAGGTTCGACGTGCCCTATACCATCAGGCCCTGCTCCTGTTTTCGCCTTATCTCTCCCCTTTGGGCTTATACCTCCGGCTCTACCAGAAGAGGGGCACGACGCCTCCTCCAGCCAGGAAACTGCGAGGTTTGCTCCTTAAACCCATGTCACCAGCGTGCGTGCCTAGCGACACGTTCTGTCTCCTCATGAATCGACACGCGCATCCGTTCTCTCGGGCCATATAGTAGTCTCCCCGGCCAGGACGTGATCCCGCCTACTTCTAGGTACACCAAAGGTCAGAGCCCATTGAAGGGGTGAGGTCCTTGGAGCCAGCAGTCACTACTGTATACCACGCCCCGCCTTCAAGCATGGCTGCTATCCGGTTTCGCGTTGCCCATGAGGATCTCTCCACGATGGGTCGACCGTGTCTTGCAGGCGAGCATCCTTTGAATCCCATACGTGTACACTCGCGTGACGCGCCTAGGCGACTCAAGCATCCTCTACCTACTAACCCGACTTGTTTCCACTGCTTTTGATGGGTCCCTGTAGCCGCCTCTTGCCTGTGTCCGTGTACCATTGTCTGTGTGCACCAGCGCCCTGCCTCCCACGGTAGACTGTGACATCTCTCGTGCGCGGGAGCCGCTCTATCTATCCTAGACCCGAGCGGTATCCCGTATCGAGCGAAAGGTCTTAACAGAGTCGCGCTGCTGGTGGTCGCGCTGGGCGTCTTAACAAACGTAGTTTAACACTGCAGGAGAGTTAGCCTTAACAAGTTCATCCGCAGCAGTTTGTAGTTGCCCTCGACGTGATTTCTCGCTGATCCTCACGCACCCAGAGCCATTCAAGCCTCGAGGTGTCCTGTCGCGCTGCTGGGACTTCCGCTTTCTCTACCCATATGGTATGGTAGATTCAGGCCTGCTTTCGACACAGCAGCAGCGCGTCGGATGGTTTTCTTATCCCGGTATCCTCGTGGACTCCTCTCGACGCGTTGATTGAGAACAGGATGGAAGTGTATGCTGTCCCAGCTGGTTTGTTGCGGTGTGGTCCCTGTAGAGTGACGCGTCGCGAAAACTCTGCAACCACCCACCCAGCGACGACGAGGTCGCCATCAACGCCGCTCCGAACCTCTTGCTGCCTCCGAAGAGGCATTGCCCAGCTGCGACGACGTGGACGCGGTTCGTGAGACTTCGCAGCCTATAAAACTATAATATATGTAAGAATAGGGTAAATGGATAGTAGTGTTATATGCGAGGGGGATGAAGTAAAGCATGAATTCGAGGCTTTCGGGAAGATATTCGCGGAGTAGCGTAAGGAACGAGTGTATAGCGTGCTTCCACATTCGAGCGGGCATGGAATACTTGAGAGCAAGCCGCTGAAGAGCTGGGGTTGCTGATGGATGCTGGGAGGAGAGGAAGAAGTCGTGATGCTCATGGAGCAGTGTACTGTGTAGTGCAATGAGAACTTGGCAGTGCTGAGACGCCAGCTGTATCCTATCCTTCTCTTGGGACGCAGCCGCTTGGGCTTTATCAACGCTAATGCATTTGTTTTCGACCAATACAAGACCGGTGTATATGCTCTTTACCTCGGCCGCAAGTTGCGATTGTGAGATAAGTCTATGGTCTGGCTGTAAGAGTAGTTTGGGTTGCCAATCATCGGTAGAAAATGGACTGGGCTGGCGAGAACCTGGGTTTTCGGGGCTTCTAGACTGAAGTGATAATATATGGGGTTTCAACGATCTTGATTGAAGCCTAGAATCAGTGGCCTCGTGGGCTTTCCTGCTGAGGTGTGAGTTAGTAAAGGCACATGGCTAGTAAGAGTTATACTCACGCTTTGTGCGCTGCTTCCTCGTATATTGGCCTCCGATCCAGTGCTGTAGACACGTGCGAGTCCATTTTTAGATTATTAATCAGCTGCTGCGAGTGACGGCTTTGCACATGGTCTCATAGAGTGTCGTCCTTAAGGAATGTCTGGTCGGTACAGTAGGGACAAGCGTAGAGGTCAAGCTGACCTTTTCTAGACTGAATCATAGTAGTAATCAATGTAGTGTTAACAGTTTATTGTATTGCTAGTTATCATGACAAAGATAGAAAGTAGTGCGGGCATAATATAAATTGAGAAAAGGGCAACAAGCCCGTCATTCAAGGTCGCACATCCATCAACTTCACCGGTCACAGGCACCTCAAAACTCTGGGAAGGAGTTGAGAGGCCTACAGCATGGATAGAAGGCAACCAGTGAGTCTCCTTACAGCAAGCAAGCTCTGATGAATTTGCTTTCAGGCATACTTACGGAGAATCACTGTAGCCTGTCAATGCAGTAATGACCAGAAATTCATCACTTCATCAGGATGCATGATTATTATGCGACACTAGCAGGTAACGCAGTGCATGCTCTTCCAGTTGTCCACCCAGCTATGCTATAGAATCTATGCTATCCTAGCGTCCGTTCTGTCCCGCCCGTCTTAGTGATTACGAGGAGTCGCTGAAACACGAGCTAAACTAGGCGTCAATGCAAAAACTTCGCGGCTTGTGTGCCGTTATCGCTCTTGTGTATTCCAAACGACCGTGCAGAGAGACTCATGGCTGCCAAGAGAAACCACGGGGTGGGCATGTCAATCGCTTGAAATAATTCAGGGGCTCTGCATGATTCTTAGCACCCCAGCCATAATTCAAACAGTAAAAGAATACTAACGCCTCATTCATGCATTGCTCTGGCGGGCCAACAGTCGAATACGGGATCAAAAGGAAATCCCTGTGAGGGTCCCGGGGAGTAGATGTTCTCCTGGTCCAGAGCGTGCTCGAAACCTGACTGGGAGTTCGACATTGGTCCTGATGCAAGCCTGGGGGAGCCACTGGCTCGTTCCACTAGTAGATTAAGTTAGCTCCTCACCTGTAGCATCCACCCCTACAGGCTAATCCTTGATGTTGCCTATACGATGGACGCAACGTTCCTCCATTGACATACCAATCTGTTTCGAAGATCCCTGGCTAATAATAACAAGTGGCCATGAAGCACGGATAAGGTGCAGTGATATTTAACTTATCCTTGGCAGTGCATAAAGCCACTTACTAGGTGCAATGAGACTATCCCCTGTTATCGAGAATGAGTTGCAAGTACTTGACCGGTCAGTTATCGCTACTCGATCGCCGGACGCCAGCTCGCCGGCCTCGCATCGGATGAGTTGGGGCGACCTCTGGAACAATTGAAGAAGTCTCTACCTTGTCCTCGGTCCAGTCCCTACTCGATATTGGTGGACGACAGGTAATGCAATGCCCTGGCTTTGGTTCTGTCAGAGGCCTAAAAATATCCAAAATCAGTTCGTCGTCGCACAATTGGGATACCAAACGTCTGCAACCACCTGTAAACAAAGTGGCTTCCCGTCCTGTCCA